TCAAAATTTTATTGAATCAATTTGCCATACCAATGCTTCTTATACTTTCAAGGAAATCCTTTTCTTTGTGAAAGATGGGAGTTCTAGTAACCGATTCATTGCCTCAAAATAGACAATAGCTGTCAGTTAAGTGACAATAGCTGTCAGTTAGGTGACAATAGCTGCCAGTTAAGTGACAATAGCTGTCAGTTAGGTGACAATAGCTGCCAGTTAAGTGACAATAGCTGTCAGCTCATAAGTGCCCAAAAGCAATTCTGGATTAATTCCAAAAGGAAATAGGAAAATTCAAAATAAAGCACGACATCTCTGAATTCGAATCTTTAAAGGATATTTCTGATCTTGTCGCCGATGTTAGTCAAATGCGTAGTCAATAATTTGATGAGAGAAATGGAGAAAGGCTAATAAGCTTCAGAATAAGCTTCTTTAACTGGCTTTGGACTTTGGACTTGACTTGGCCTAGCCTAAAAATTTAATAGAACAAGTTTGAAATGAAATTTGCGCAAGTAACCTTTATCAATTGAAGTAGAAAAATATTAATAAGACTCAAAGTTATCTAAAGTTAGAGTTGCACAAGTTGCTATATTTATTTCGTTTTTCAACATAACCGAATTTTTGTTGGTCGATACTTTTAGCAAGCACGCGTTTCACAGCAAACGTCCAGATCTTTTACAAATAGACGAAAAGAGTCCCATGAACCCCTTTGCACTTTGCACTCTGCCAAACCACTTTGCAGATCTTTTGTCTATCTTCCTCTTGTCTTTTTATTGTATTCCTCTTCTTTTAAATCTAACATCTTTATGTCCCTTTCTTAAGTTTAGGATGTCGGTCAATGCCAGCAACTTAAAAGATGAAATAATGGGACAACGGTATTGGGAAGGTACCATGCGTGAGGCAGAATACGCCTACAGTGTTACGGAAGAGCTATATAAAGTTGTATTTTTGCGAAAAAGTTAATCTCAAGTTTATAGGATGTTGATGAATCAATGTTGATGAATCTAAACCCACTTAACTGGCATACCCAGTCTACTCTTGTTGAACGATTGCTTAACCATAAAAATTATATGTCTTTCTCGACAACTCTTGAAAACTATGAATTGCCAGAAAGGAGTGATTACCCGATCAATGGTAAAGAGGGGTCGAAATATGCTCGCCTACTCGTTTCGCTTGAGAACTTTACCAAATTTGATATGTACTATTATCCAAAGCCGGAGTCATTGAACGTCAAGATTTTTCTGGTAGAAGATGAAGACACAAAGAAGCTAGTAAAGGAGTTGAATGGAATCGAAGAGCTGGATAAAAGCGAAAAAAATCCGTTTCTCTATTACGAAGATCAGAAATGGTATACAAATGATCGCAAAATGTCGTTGATTGGTTATGATTATGTAGTGGACATCGTTATTTTGACAGAATCTCCGTCAAAATTCATCAAACAATGCTGGGACAATTATCCTGAAAGGCTCAAATTTGATGGCGTAAGAAAGTGAGTTAAAAAATACTTAAAGGGCTTTTAATTTTTTTTAGTGGATTATTGCAGACTTGAAAACAGTTTGAAAGTTTGAAAACAATTGCCATTTAGAGAATCGTCGAAGAACTCGGCAAACGTCGAAGAACTCGGCGCCATGATGGAAGAATTGAACCTTGAAAACGCTGATGAATTGTGGATGATGAGCAAAATTTTTCAGGCCGAATATGCTTACCATGTCACTGGCCAATCATCGCAGGTTATCACGTTTTTAATGTCTTTCAACAAACTTTGCAGGGACCAATTCCTTCATGGGAGAAACTTATAACGCATCCTGCAGACGAAAGCATGAACCCCGGCCTAGGTCATCTTCAATGTGTTTTTTTCTCCTCTTCTTTATACAATAGGCAAATTTCTGAAAATAGTCCATATCCAAAGGAAGGAATAGTGGGGAAGAAATATCACCTGATCAAAGTACCCCTTGATCGTTTCAAATACTATCGAATGTTTTATTATAAAAATACTGCATGTGCAGCCAAGTACAAGAATGTGGAGAAACTTCTTCTGATTAATGATAGAAATGGATTCAATCAAATCAAATCAATTAAAAAAGAATCTGGTACAAAATTACAAGAACTCCGCTTCAAGGAAAAGAAAAACAAATTTCTTTTCCTAGAAAATGGCACATGGTATGTAAATGATACAAAATTTGACGGAGGAGTTTATGTGCATCTTTTGATCTTAAATGAAATCCCTATTTCACTGGACTGCAAATGGGATAAAGTCGAGAAGTTGAAAAAATAATGATTGAAAAGGTGAAATTGATGACTGAATTTCTTCTAATATAGGCCCTCGCTCCCATAACTGTTCTATTTGAAGGATTACTAAAAATAGAAACTCGCGGGCTTCTATTTGAAGAAATCAATAGCTGCTATTAATTTGTTTCAGTTTTGTTTTTCCCTTTTTATTCGTTTGTCTTTTAAATGTTATGATGAGTAAGTAAATTGTTTTCCAAGTTAAAGCATCTTTCACGCACAGAAAGCCAAATATCCACGCAATGCTTTTATTGCCCGATTTGGACCAAATCTGAAAATTTATGATAAATCTTGAGAATTCAACGAATTTTTTCGTGAAATTTCAAATCCGTGCACATTGTTGTGAATCTTTCATTGAGGAGGGGAACGTTGAGAAATAGAAAACATAGAAATTCCAAGCTGATCCTAGATAGGAGATACCGTAAGCCTAAATATTTTATCCTTTGAACATTTTATACAACATGTTGAAAAAGAAACAGTTGATGCTTAAGAGATTGGCTTTTTAGTATTCAAGAATTTAGTGAGCAATTTTGTAGTCATTTGTTTCTTTTCTGTTATTTTCATTCTGCAAAATTACGCAAAATCATGAACAAGACATCTAGCTCTCAGGCGCTGTTTTGAAACACTTTTCTTTCCAAATTTCGTAACTCCATAAAGAGCTAGAGTAAAACGTTAATGTTGACAAATAAAGAAAAGAAATCCCGACTTTTCGGAGCCTGGATTTTCATGTATTTTTCTCTTTTTCCTCATCGAATCATCATTTCAATCCATGATTTATTTCCCCAATTTAACATTTCAAATTTCACGGTGCAAAACAAAAGCTCTTTTATTTGACACCAAACTGGGGTTTATCTTTTCTGGCGCAATGCAGAAAATCTTTCTTATGCGATTTTTGTTGTGATTTTTTTGTAATTATGAGTCACGAATGTGACTCCTAATCTCAAAAAAAAAAGATTTTTGTTGTGCTTTCTTTGAAATGTGAGTCACGAAGTGATAAAGAGGCTTTATTTGGCGCCCAGTCGTTGAGCCGTAGAAGGAGGAGAATTTTGGCCATTTTTTAGATTCATATTGCCCGAATTGTGTTTTTTCTTTGATACTTTTTTGATCTTGGGGCCAATAACATGATCCAAAGAGTTGTAGAATGTGCAGCTTTTATGATCAGTTGATGGGCACCAATTGGGAAGGCGGAATGGTCGAAGCTAAGGTTGCTTACCATGTCACAAATCAAGTTTGTCAGGTAAGAAATGTGTATTGAATGGTTAGGTTGAACAGTTTCAAGACTATAGACTATTCAAAATTTCATACATTCTTTGATGAGTCAACCAGTTTAAAGATTCAGCTGTTTGCCACACTGAACGAGGGTTAGAAATACTAGGATTAAGGTTTAATTAAATAGGAACGACTTTCCAGAAAACCGTAGTTATCCAGGAAATTGTTCTTTGAAGTGCTCAAATGTTCACAAACGCATCCTTTTTGGCGCACTGTTTTTTCTGTTTTATAAGGTAAACCCCTTGAGATGTAGCTAAAAATGAGAGCTTGCTCGTTTGAAATTCAAAATTTTAAGCTTTTAAAAGAAAGTTAGTTATTTACTCTTAAAATCTGTAAAATTTCAGTTTGTAGCGATGGCTGACACGTCTAGCACTTTACAGTACCTCTATGAAGCAAACTGATCATTGTAATCTCTCAATATTTGCTCAATTTTTAGAGAAACAGGGCGCGACCAGAGAATTTTGACGAACTTCGACTTGGTGTGGCCAACGATTCGACATATGATGGACCACTTGTTGGAGCACGTGGAGTTTTCTTTACGACAACAAAATATGGAAATGGTTTACCAACAATCAGCCCTTATCCAGCACATGGTACCGAAGGTGTTAGCCATTATAGAGTAAGCGTTCCGCTTGATCGATTTAACGGCTACGAAATGTACTATTGCCAAAATCCTGCCGAAACAAGAGTCTTGCAAATTCGTCTCATTTTGGTCAACTCGAGTTTTGAAAAGAAGATTCTCACTGGTTTCCCAGGAATTCAACCACTCAATATTTTTGAGAAGAACCCATTTCTTTGCTATTCTCAAGGCAAATGGTGGACAAACGATTACGACAAAGCCGAAGTAAAATATTTTGTTAATTTTGTGGTTTTCAAAGCGGTTCCATTGGATGATCAATGTACATGGGATGGAGTGAGAAGAGGGGCACAAGGTATTGGAAATCCGCTACCTCGTGAAGTAGTGAATAGGCTAATGTTGAAGATGTGGAGTGATTCGCGAAATTTACACGCCTGGCAAGGTAAAAGAAAGGAACATTGTACTTTGACAAGTACTAGGAAAATTAGGTTAAAAATTTTACTAACCAAAAATCTCTAATAAACTCTTTATTACAATTTTTTGCACTTACAATTAGTCACAAACTGATAAAGCCATTCATCCATAAAAGAAAGAAGAATAGTAGTCATTTTTTTGTTTGATTTTTCACTTCTTTCATAAAGCAGCTCTTTTGAAATTTTGAAGTTTACCTCAGCAATGTTTTTAAGGTAACCGGGAACCTTGGATTCCAACAGAAGAAGAAATCGAAGAATTGGAGGAGAGATGGGAAAATGAAATTGAGGAAGGCAGCCTATCCGACGAACTTGAAAATCTTGAACTTGAAAATGAGAATTGAAAATTAATCGATGATAATTTTTCAGCTTTTATGGTCATGTTTGTTTTTGTTTCTCTGGCAGATCACTTCAAAATGTTCCAATAAATTGATTTCAAATCAAACTTCGATGAGCATAAAGCTGCTAACATTCAAAAAGTTCAAACTCAGACAAGAGCTGTTTTTTTGCTTTTTCCGAATGAAGCTTTTTCTTGGTGTTGGAGTGGTCTCAAGGAACGGGATTTGATTTGCATGCAACGAGCAGAAGAAGGGGGAATGAGAAAAGATGGGATTTTTGAGCTTTCAAAAGAGAAATCGAGAGTCATGAATGAAAAGAGATCTGAGAGATAGAAAGAAATTGAGATGTAAACTAGAGAATAGTGCTATTGGGAGAAATGGAGACCCATCTGGAGATCCACTCATGTTAACGAGATGTTTTTTGCGCCGATCTTTTTCCTCTCCCTTTTTCATTCACAAAAAGCAAACTACTCAAGAAAAATGAACATGGAACATTGAACATTCATCGTTTTCTCTTTTTTCTAATGAATGGTTATCCATTTTTTTCAGATTCATCACGGCAAAGCATTCATTTGTCAGTTTTTTTTGCTTTAAACATTCCAAAAGTCAACCGCCACTGAACCGTCAATCTTATTTTGAATTACAGTAAGGTTCTTCATTTCCTAGTCAAATGCTATCATGATCGACTGACTAAGAGCCCTGTATCTTAGTCGGAATGTCAAGGATGTCAGGATGTCAAGGATTCAATCCCACCGGCTAGATTATTTGTTCCATCTATTGTATATGAAATCAATCATATAGATAAATTAATAGCAGAATATCGGCTTTTAGACTTCCAGCAATCCCTCTTTTCCATTTTGAAACAGAAATAGGAAAATAGACGGAAAATAGAGAATAGGAAAATAGGAAAATAGAAAATAGACGCAAAAACGTGGGAATTATATTCGATTTTCATGAGCAACTCATTGAATTTGTTGAGCCACTAGCGGTAAATCAATTTGTAAATTTTATACTAGTTCAAGAGTTATGAGAGTTTGTTGTCTATCAAATTTTGCAAATTAGATTTACAAATTAGTAATTTGCAAATTCCAAAAGCTCAATCGCTTCTCTAATAGCTTCTACTTAGTTTATTGGGAAGAGTCTGGTTGATTTGTAGCTAGACAGCTTTTCTAAATCATTCTTCATTACTTCTATGACCTATCTAGCATAAAAGTCACGAAAACAAGCCTATTAGTTTAGTGAATTGCTTCTACCACCTCATTCTACAAATACTTTAAAATGAAAATTGCTAATATCTTTAAATCCCAAAGAATAAAGTCAAAAGTTCTGAAAGATAAACTTTCTCTTCTTGTTGTTCGTACTAATCACCTCGATGTAAGGCATAGATGTTCTCCTATTTTTTTTCTTTTCGTATTCAAAGAGTGATCCTCTCTTTTCCCCTCATTAATTTTGTATAGGGACATCCCCAAGAGATCCCTCTCCCCCTCAAAAATCCCCTTTCTCTCTCAATTTTTTCGCCTTTCCCAATCGCAACCTGACCCTTATTTATATAAAGGATTCTCATCTTTTAAAGAAATCTAAAATTTCTCTTTCTTAAAACATTTCAAACATTTCTATTTCTGAAATTCTCTTTCTCGAAATGCTCAAGAATGTTTTATGAACACTCGAATGTCTCGAGGTTCAAATAACTTTCGATTTCTATCAAAAGCTTATTATTTTTAATTGAAATTTTGATTCCCGTCAAAAGTCCTTTGAATATAGGAATTCGAATTCGAATTTAAACTTTTCTAGGATAAAATCTCTACGTTGTAGCTTTTCTTTTAACGGATTTGAATTTGAACAAAGATCACAAAAGCAATGTTTCGTTTTCTATTTTCAAAACAAGTAAAAATTCATTTATCCAAATAACCCATCAAATCACCAATTCAAATTTTCAAGTTAAATAGTACTGCTCAATCCAGCAATTTGACCTCTGGATTTACCGTATTCTCTCTAATAGTAGTGCACCATGAGAGTCGCCTAAATTGCTCGAAATCTCGAGAACCGCTTATCAGAACCTATCGATGTGGGGTCGGAAAATGTAGCTGACGATGAGATCTTGTGGGGGATTTGAGTGTTGAGCTTCTGCGAAAACTTCGAAACCGTAAAGTAATCATCGACTCGGCGGGGTGCACTACTATTAGAGAGAATACGGTGTTCTCTATTTTATCCTAGTTTCTTTCAATTTTTCAAACTGATTCGTTTTTTCAGACGATTTTTTAATCAAATGACTTAAACTTAGATTTTGACAGGTGAAAGTATTACAATTCGTGCGGCACCCATTTATCGAGCTTTTTTGACTTTCCAATCCGTTTCAAGTGATCGGAAATGGTCGTCTTGCCACGCCAAGCTCCTCCGCAAGCTCTCGAATAGTCGTACGTGGATTTGCTTCCACCAGGATCTTCAGTTCGTCGTCACCGAGTTCAACAGGACGGCCAGGGCCTTCTTTATCTTCGAGATCAAAATCACCAGCTCGGAATTTTCAGAACCAAGTTCGCACTGTTGACTCGCCGACACTGCCTTGGCCCCAAACTTTGTTAAATTTACGAGCCGTTTCAGCTGCATTGCGACCGAGTTTGAACTCATAAAAGAAAACCTAGCGAAAGTTGGTTTCGGACATCTAAAACGGCGAAGCTTAAAATTTGCAAAAAATTTTATTTCCAACGAAATTTAAAAGTATGGTTAAAGAGAGCACAAACTCAGCTTTCTAATGACTATTTTACGGTTTCTAAAGTTTTCGCAGAAGCTCAACGCTCAAATCCTCCATAAGATCTCATCGTCAGCTACATTTTCCGACCCCACATCGATTACAAGGTACAGAGCATACATTATTGAGAAAAATGTACCCAAATAATAAACAATGCAAAAAAACAATGCTCATTTATTTCCGGACAGCCTAACACTTAAACTCTTGATATACTAAAGTTCAAATACTTTCAAATACTCAAAATCTCAAAGGGAAACAAGAATTATCTTTTGAAATTATTGTTTTTAATAAAATTCCATTCTTTTTCATTTTATTCCATTTTTCTGTTCCTCTTTTAGTTGAATCTTCTTTTGGATCAAAAGAAAGACCCATTGTTCATATCAAAAAAGAGAAAAGAGAATCCTCTTGAGAATTTCTCGAAGAAAAATGACCATAAAAAAATTGAAATTCTCATTTTCTTCTTGAAACTTTTCACATGTTTTTTTATCCAGTGTACCTGAGCTTTTCTTTTTATCATTTTCAGATACAAGAATTCTGCCGAAACACCTGTTTTTTGAGCTTTTTTTGAGTCAAACTAAAGCTGGGAAATCAAAAAATTTCGATTTAGATTTGAAAAATTTCATTTCTGAGGAAATCTTTTCCAAAAATTGACTTTATTTAATGGTGACGACGGGTTCAGTGGGCAATTCCTCAAAATCAGCCCCGTATTCGAGATCCTTTTCCACTGGTTATGTTCATCCTGGATCGGAGACTGATTCAGGTAAAGAAATTTAGAAAAAATAGCGCTTAAAGTTGAATATTTTGTTGTCTACAATAACTCTAAACAGACGATGATAGGCAAAAAAGTTAAGCAAAAATTTTCTCTTTGACTGGTTTGGCTGGTTTTAAGGAAACTTTAGGGTTTCTCTACATAAAAAAAATCAATTCCAAGCATTAAGCTATGAAATTTCGTTTAGGGAAGTCTTAATAAATAAAAAAAAAGAACTTAAAGCTTCATTTCAGATGATCGCCTTTTTTGATAAATCAAAAAACGATCTTAAATCCTCATTTTAGATGATCGCCAAGGAATCTTTCAATCGAAAGAAGAAAAGAAACTTTTTCTGGCTGGAGTTACGATAAAAGTGGGAAATTCTAGAAGAAATTTAAGTAATTCCAAGTTCAGCATGCTGCTTTTGGATCAGCTTTTGCTACTGCAGCACAAATTTTTGCGAATTTCTATATTTTTATGATGGGTGAGTAGAAAATTTGAAATTTTCTATATCCAGCTTTAGGTTGTGGTGTAACGACGTTGGACATGCTATTCGCGAATTTTCCTGTCATATTCGGTTTCATAACGATTGGCCTATTTATCTATGCGATTTTGAGTAATCTCTCCTTCAGTATACGACCGTTTATCATTCATCAAGTAAGTGAATGCAAACATTTGAAGCGCTTAAAAGGAAGCTTTAAAAGTATCTCTAGAAATTGCGTCTTCTAATTTGACTGGTTGTCAATAATCCCAGAGTTGTCTGTTTTCCTAAAAGATCCTTCAAAATAATAGTTTAAGGCTTCAATTTCATTGTAAAAGTGAGTTTGCTTAAAGAAAAATATTCGAACTTTCTAAATTTAATGTTATTTTGAAAAATCTGAATTGAATCGCTTTGAAAATGGCCGTTTATGAGTAGTCCAGAAACTTTTGAGAAGAGAATCTCTAACATTCCTATGCTAACATAAACTCAAAATATAAACCAAGATAATATCTGTAATCTTATCAGGTTTATAGTGTTTTGATTCTAACTTTGCGATCATTTCAGATCACGGCCATTATCATCCTCGTTCTCGTCCTATTTCTCTTCATGTATTGCATTTTCCATTTGCATAATTTCAATCCAATTCCTCCATTGACTCTTGACGGAGATTTTGATGGAATTGAAAGAATTCGATCAAAGATGACCTTCTTTTTAGAACCTCTTTGTGAGTGTTTTGTGATTATGAAAATCTCAAAAGATACATTGGTTAATTAGTTTAAAAGTACAGTCGACTCTCGATATAACGATCCTCTTGTGATCTTCCTTTGCGATTGAGAACCTTTGTGGTCCTCTTGGAACCAAAAAATGGAATCGTTATATCGAGAAAACCGTTGTATCGAGAGTCGTTATATCGAGAGTCGAATCCACTATAAAAGAGCAGTGTCTGTCTGTCTGTACGGGCTATAAAGCTAAAAATTCTTTAGAAATTCTTAGAATATATTGTATGCCATTAAAGAAATTTTAAAAAATCAAATTGGTGAAAAGCGTGGGAATCGAACCCGAGCCGTGTGGGCCGTAGACAAGCAACCTTTTCCATTTCCCCAATGAAGTCAATGCCTCTTCTGGATCATCATCGTTTCGACAAGCTCTCAATAAATAATGTCAAAATGTGATCTTTTTACTTTAGCATAATGTAGTGAGAGATTAAGACTACGATTTTATAACCATTTCTCTACGATTTTATAACCATTTCCAAAGACTGGCACCCAAAATATCCAGCTAGAAAGCCATTTTTTGGCTAGTCACAAAATGAAACAGCAAACAATAAAATACTTGAAAGGATTAAGATTTTGAATTCCTAAATTGGAAGAAATTTCAGCAACAGCTCAACGCGCGGGTTTTTCCTTGTTTCTACTGGTGAATTTCACGATTTCGATCACTTCATTGCATGTGGCTATGATGTAAGTTTGAAAAGCTTCAAGAACATCTAGAAAGACCAAAATAATCGTTCAAATCTTCGTTCAAATAGGTTTTTTCGCAGTGGAAACACTACTTTTCTGGCATACTTACCGAGTTTTTCACCTTTTCACAGCAGTAAGAGAAATCAATGGACTAGAAATGCATTTACCATTTTTACGCACAAAGTACGCTCTAAACATAGTTAGTTTTAGCATTAATAAGCTTATTAGCAAGAATTTCAGTGCGCCAGAAAGGATTCGTTTTTAAATTTTTGATCAAAAAGTACTTACCGTAAATACTGCAATAGTACCCTCACCCCCATAATGAGGGGGCGGAGCGTTGCGTAGTCGAGCTTTGAACGAGTTTTTCTCGACACTGGTTTATGCTACAATGCGTGCTTAGGTATCAAAAAATAGCTGAAATTCAGGGCTATTTTTTGATACCAAAGACGCATTTTTTGAGAGTACGGGCGCTTTGAAAAAAATGAAATACTAAAAATATTTTTCGACTACGCGTCTGTACGAGGGGGGTGGGGTACTATTATAGTATTTACGGTAGAACAAGTTTCCTATGAAAATTTCAGTCTTCACACCCATTTGGAGAGTTGTCTGAAAGTGGTAAGCAATGATGTGACTGAAGTTTAAAAAATCTTATGTAATTGTATTTGAATAAAGTTTTATATTCTGATAAACAGCAAACAAAAAGCTTTCTGAGAACAAATTCATTTGAATCTAATTATCAACCAAAAAAAACTTTGTACTTCCACCACTTTTCATCAAATTTCTTTTGAATATTTGATAAAAAGGAAATGCTAAAAGAAGCCAATACAATTTTTATCATATTTTTTATTATTTCTATATTACTTTTTATTAAAACAATCAATTTCTCGAAAACCTTTTTATTCTTTTCACTTTTTCCAATCTTTTCAGCTTCAATTACTGCTCAGTAAGTGATCTTTTTTTCAAAATATTACCTGATAGTGAAGTTTTTTAAATCTCAAATTTTGTACCAAATTTTCCAACCGAGTGAGACGCAAATATGCTGAAAAAAAGTGAACAAGAAGCTGATGAGAGTAAAAAGGATAGACGATAAATAGAATATGGAATTATGGCTGGCTTTGAATAGCTTTACTTATAAGAAATATAAGCAAAACTTACAATTTACAACCTAAATTGTTAGTGAAACTTTGGACTTTTACATGCTTTTCAACTAGAACAAAAGAATGCTGAAAGCTTTTTCAAGTGTAAAGAAATATTCTTTGCGTGCTTGGTACTCTTCACTCAAGACACGTGATTTCTTGTTTCGAGATACCTGATCTCAATTGAACTAAGACACTTTATTCGGAACTGCGGAAAAGCGTTAAGTTGCGTAGTTTTTGCCTCTTAGCCCAAATTTGACGTGTCAGCGAGTTCTAATTTGTCGAAATTCGGAATCTACGCATATGATTCCCGTATGTGGAAACATTTTTAAAGCTCTACGGCCTTTTCTAAGGCCTTTTCCAGCGAAAAAAAAGGTGCGCTTTTGGTCGGGCGCGCAAAAAAAAGGTGCACCTTTGTCCCACCCCTCACTTTATTCAATACTAAGACAATTTATTCAATCGATAGTTTCCATAGTCGATAGTTCAATAGATTTTGGGCTCTCACTTGAGCAAATTCCACACAAAATCGACAATTGAATTAAAAGCGACGATAAAAACAGAAGCAATTTCGTCCTAATTAGGACACAACTTTGACACGATGAAAGGAAAGCAGAAAAAAGTAAAATCACATCAAATGAACAACAGTTGCCTTATAAAGGCTTTAACAAAAGATATTCAGCTAACAAGCTACAAAATAATAAATGATTTGGGGAACGAAATTTGGGGCAGAATGAAGGCGCACGGGTTTCCGCAAGACTTTTCCAATTTTTAGGCTTTCAGAGTTAGGTAACTTTAGTGGCTATTCGCTACATCAAGTATTTTTTGATTTTATTGTATCGTTCACTGGTCCAACACAAGTTAGATCACATTTTGACATTGTTTATTGAGAGCTTTTCGAAACGATAATGACCCAGAAGAGGCATTGACTTCATTGGGGAAATGGGAAAGGTTGCTTTGAACAATAAGCCTGCTAAGTATTTGTAAAGAAAAGAGATTTTGATTTTGAAAACCAACAAAAAGCACAATGAACCTATAAAACACCAACAATTCCTCTCAAAAGAACTATCAAAATGTACACGTCTTCAAAAAACTAAATTGATAGATGTTTTGTTTAAACACTTAAGATTGAAATGTAAAAATGGATTTAAATATTGGGTTGGTGAATTGAAAACTGCGGGACTTTGAACTAAAATTTATTCAACATAAGACCATGAATTCATTCCAAATAATTTCCATTATGATTGACGACTTCTGCCCATTTTACAGGCAATTTGCGGATTCCTCTTTCGTGGTAGGATTTTGGTTTGAATCGAAAAACTTTCAAAGCCAATTTTTGACTGCTTCTTCCTAATCGAAGTGTTCTCCCGCAAGCTCATTACTCATGATCCAGAATAAATAGTAATCAAAAGGGGCGAGGTCCGGACTGTATGGGGAATGAGCCAAAATTTCCCAAACAAGGCTATTTATTTTAGAGCGAGTCAGTTTTGCAACATGAGGGCGCGCGTTGTCGTGGATGAGAACGATCTTTGACTTGGAGGGCCTATTCTTCTTCAGGGATTCATTCACGTTTTCCAACTGTTCAATGTATTTGATCGCATTAAGGGTCGTCTTGCTATCCAGCAACTCCCATTACACCACTCCCTCCATTTCCCAGAAAATGCAGAGCATAAACTTCTTCTGGTGCAAATCGGGCTTAGGGTCACTTTCGGGTTTCTCGCCTGGCCCCACCCATTGCCACTTCCTCTGAAAGTTCACAGATAGAACTCATTTCTCATCTCCTATCACAATTCGAGAAAGAAAAGATTTCCTTTTGTAATGTGAGAGATGGACGGCACTGATCGAGGCGCGCTGCCACTTCTGGGGGTTATCGAGGTCATGGGGCGCCCAAGCTCCAAGTTTCGATTTAAATTCAAGGGTATGAAGGTGCCTTAGCACTGTAGCATGATCAACCCCTAACTCTTCTCCCAATTCACGCGATGATACCCGATGATCGTAGGGAATGAGTTCGAGTAATTTGGAATCATCCAGTTGGGGTGCCGCTCCACGGCCCTCTGCATCTTTCAAAGATTTGTCCCCGGATCGAAACTTGGCAAACCATACTCGACACGTTCTTTCGGAAGGTGAGTCCTCCCCATATATCTTTTTAATATTAGCAGCTGCCAAACCTGCACTGTGCTCTTGTAGGAACTCATGAAGCATGACATGACGAATATGTCCCGGTGACAGATTGTCGAGTGCAATAGAAGAAGTGAAGAAGAATACCAAAAAACAAAAAGCTGAAAGCATAATTTTTTCGCAATAATTAGAGGAAATGTTGAAGTAACCAAACCCCCTTTCAGCTGGTTCAATGCTTTTGTTTTTTTAACTGCAAGTCCCGCGAAATAGCCCGCAGTTTTCAATTCACCAATCCAATAGTTAAAAATAAATGCAGATTCCGTATTCTCTCTAATAGTAGTGCACTCTCTAATAGTATTGCGGTCCGAGAGGGGGTTGAAAAAATAGTAGTGCGCACGCAATTGAATTGAATTATTGAATCTATTGAAAAGAGCACGAGTTTGTGACGTCATTCATTTCATAATCCCAAGTGAAACTCGATGATTCACCAGAATCAACAAGAGAGATTTCTCCAATTCTCTTCACCTTCCATAATCTTTCCCTTTATTTGTTATTCGAACCCTTTCCTCCCGTTCAATCCAATATTTCTGTTCAACTCTTTACTTTTCTAGGGAATTGTTTGTTTGTTTTCGTTTTTAAAAGTAAAAAATTTACTCTTAAAAAGAAAATGATTTATATAAAATTAGTTACAGAATAATTTTCGCTTTATTACTTTGAAAAATCGATCATTTTTTAGATTCATAACTTTTCTTTGAACAATTTTACAACTAATTTTTTGTTTTTAACTTTTAAAATGGGATTAAAGAAATCAAATATGATGGTAGGTTTGTTTTTTGATTATTTTTTGATTATTTTTTGATTATTTTTTGATTATTTTTTGATTATTTTTGCGTATCTTTTGCCCGCGTCAATAATTATTTAAACTTTGACATCTTTTATCATTGAATTTTAGCTTTATATTCGAGTTTCGGGATGCTTTTGACCAGTTTTAAGTTGGAATTAATGAATATAAATCTTATAAAGCAGAAAAAGATTCGGATTTCAGTACTTTTTATCAAGACCAATTGAGTTAAAAGTTCGCAACTTGCAACAATTTTCCCCCTTATCTTTACTAAACTTATAAAGTCATTTATTTCCCCTCCTTATCTTTACTAAACTAAAATGATGGGGAAATTTACATTTATCCTGTTTTTATTGACGAGCCAAAGCTATGGACCACGGATTCTCCGCCCTGAAAACTCGAGTTTTCAGTTGCAAACTTTTAACTCAATTGACCTTGATAAAAAGTACTGAAATCCGAATCTTTTTCTGCCTTTCAGAACTCTAGCCATCCTTTTTATCATTTTGAGATCAAAGATAACTTCCCATTTCCCCAAAAAGTTCAAGAAATTTCAAGAATGTCCATCAAGCATTGAAGGAAACTATCATTTTACTTTGATTCCTTGACTTTGATATGAAATGAATGCAGCATAGATCGAATGAGATCGAGTCCCCCAAAAATGAACTTGTCCTTCTGATCTAAGATCTCATCCCGCCAAATTTCTGAGTGTTTCCCAATTTCCACGAGAATATCAAGTATCAATGAGTTTTTGACCTAAGATCGCACAGGGAATTTCCTATTCATTCCCACAATATAAAAGCGAAGAGCTTTTATAGCCTTTTCATTCTGTTCCTCTTTTCTAAAAGTTACCTTTGAAAAAAGCTACCGTATTCCTTATTCTCCTCTTCAAAGATGCCTATTCCTTCTTTAGAAATGAAAATTCAAATCAACTTCTCGAGAACACCGCCAGTTTTTGAAGTCAATGAAATCATTGAGGGAACGGTGGTTTTAATGGTCAGTTTTAGAGGGAAAATATTGATTTGTTGGGTATGAACTGGCACGTGACTGATTTCCGATTTTCTAAAAAGTTAAGCTATAACTTTTCCTGAAATTTTTTCCCCTTAAGAAGTAAAGAGTTGCCCTTTTTGGTGCTATCCCGATCTGATGATTAGAGTGTGTTCTTCGCGAGTAATGCGTTTTTTAAAACCCACACTTAGGAAAAATTACCGTACTTTTAGCGAAAATTATTGCAAAAAAATTGGGATAGACTACTTTGCGCCAAATTTTTTGCGCAACTGGGTCATTTGCGCAACTCGCCATAACTTTCTACTAAGTGAGCCAATCTTTATGGTTTTGGTTTCATTTTGTAGATCCCAAGAAGTTCAACAAAATGAAAACGAAAATCATAAAGATTGGCCCACTTAAAAGAAAGTTATGGCGAGTTGCGCAAACCAAGTTGATTTTGG